CTTCCTTCCTTCCTTCCTTCCTTCCTTNCCCTCCTTCCCTCCTTCCCTCTTTCCCTCCTTCCTTCCTTCCTTCCTTCCTTCCTTCCTTCCTTCCTTCCTTCCTTCCTTCCTTCCTTTCTTCCTTCCTTCTAACAGTCTCACTGTTGCCCAAGCTGGAGTGCAGTGATGCAATCATAGCTCACTATGATCTTGAATTCCTGAGTTCAAGTGATCCTCCCACGTAGCTGGGACTACAGGCGTGCACCACGAAACCCAGATAATTATTTAATCTTTATTAGAGATAGGGTCTCAGTATGTCGCCCAGGCTGGTCTTGAACTCCTAGGCTCAAGCAATCCCAAAGTGGTGAGATTACAGGTGTGATCAACTACGCCCAGCCTAATTTTTTGGAAAACTATACCCAAGCCACTAATTTTTGAAGGTGAGTTATATTACCTTCAAATGACTTGATTATCTGACATTTCTGACCATCTAAATGAACTTAATTGAAAAAAAATTGATGGCTATATGAAAATAGCATGTACCGAAAACATTGATGAATTCACAGCAAGAATTTGCTTTTGGTGAAAGAATTACATGGTTTGCTACAGATGGTTTTAGAATTTGAATCCTAAAGAAGAACTGTTGAAATGAACAGGACCATATCTGTGCACACATGAAGAGAAATGTTATTGTTTCAAAATACTCGAAAGGAAAAAGTTTGATGGTATTTGAAATCCACTGGCCCCGTCACAATACACTTCAACATGACATACGTCAATGAGTAAAATGGGAATACCTATGAGATTTAAGAGTCTCACTTAAGATGGCAATAAAAGATGGTGTGAATGAAAATTTCAATTTTCATAGCTGCATAAACTTTATTTCCCAGGAAGCCAATGGATGCAAAGAAAGACTGAGTGAATTTAATGAACACACACAAACAATGTTAGAAAACACTTGCTGAAGACAGAGATAAGGCTGACATTCTTGGAGATGATGTGGATGGTGAGCTCTTGCCATGAAAGCTAAAAGCATTAGAAGGTGGAGACTTGCTAGAAATCAGAAGGAATGTTGATGAAACTGATTTATGTGTTAAGATAAATGAGTCTTTAAAGTCTCTGGAAGAAAAAGCAACCAAATCTACATATAATTATCTGAAAGTGGATAAAATAGCAGTTGCACATACAGATTATATGAAAAGTCTCCAAAATGAACAAGTCAGAAAACACACACACAACTTGAAAGTCAAATTGGAAAATGTCTGCAGAAACATAAACTCTTAGTAAATTATACTCCTCCCATCAATATGGTGAAAGATAAGCAAATATTTAAGGTAAATTTATCCTGGAAAGAAGGAGGAGAATCTTTCCCAAGCAACTCAAAAGATCATCTATGCATTCAGGGAACTGAATGCCTATGGAATTCAAGCAAAAATTCGTCCAGCAAAAAATATTGGAAAGATCTATTATTCTTAGCAATTATTCTAAGAGGACAAAGCTTTTGTTGTTTGAAGACTTAATGAGAAAACTTGGGGACTTGGTTAACTTAAGAAAATGTATGTAACAGAAAAAAAAATTGAGGGGGAAATTAAATTTTCAAAAAGTATCTTTATGTTCTTGGTGTTCAAGTAAAGCAAGGATGGGGGGATGTGCAAAGGTTCTCACAGGAGTCCCAGGAATTCTCTGGATAACTGGAATCCTAAGAAAAATTTTAATTTAAATTATTCCTCAGATTTTTTTTTTTTTTTTGCATTCAAGAAACACAGGGAAAAGATTACTCCATTAGATCTACTGAGTCATGACAGCAATTTCTACCCAAATGCAAGACTGACTCACCATGGTGTTCCTCATGCTAGAAGACAACTTTTTGTGAAATAATGAAAGTATCTTTCAGCTTCAGAAATAGAGGTGACCCACCATTTGCCAGAGTGCAGTCACGTGACTTCACTTATCCACAAGAGATGCTGGGAAATGTAGTTCAGCTGGGGAACTATGCCCACAGCTCCATACACCAGAAATATAGCACTATTGAAACTATTAAGACAGATAGAAGGGATTTGGGTGGACAACATGTGCATTCTCTAGGACTCTGTGTTTTTAGTTAGGTTGAGCAGTCTTGACTTTATGGTCTTGACTTCCGAACTAATTCTTATATTTTTATTTTTATTTTTATTTTTAAGTTCCAGGGTACATGTGCAGGATGTGCAGGTTGTTACATAGGTAGACGTGTGCCATGGTGGTTTGCTGCATCTATCAACCCACCACCTAGGTATTAAGCCCAGCATGCATTAGCTATTTTTTCTGATGCTCTCTCTCCCCATCCAATCCCCCCACAGATCCCAGTGTGTGTTGTTCCCTTCCCTGTGTCCATGTGTTCTCATTGTTCAGCTCCCACTTATAAGTGAGAACATGAGATGTTTGGTCTTTTGTTTGTTTGTTTGTTTTTTCTTTGAGACAGAGTCTCACTCTGTCAGCCAGGCTGGAGTGCAGTGGTGTGATCTCCACTTACTGCAACCTTGACCTCTTGTGTTCAAGTGATTTTTGTGCCCCAGCCTACCAAGTAGCTGGAATTACAGTGGTGCACCATCATGCCTGTTTAATTTTTTGTATTTTTGATAGAGATGGGATTTCACCATGTTGGCCAGGCTGGTCTCAAACCCTTGACCTCAGGTGATCCACCCACCTTGGCCTCCCAAAGTGCTGGGATTACAGGCATGAGCCACTACACCCAACCTTCACACAATAAGTCTTATATCCTCAACACAGCTTGGAGAGGAAGACCCTCTTAGGATAACCTTCCTTGTTTTTCTCCCAAATGGGATGGCCATAGCCAAGAGAGGTTGTATAACTTGTGTAAGTCAGCACAGCTAGAAATTGAGAAACGAGGATGTGAATCTATAAATTGAGTCTCAGAGTCCAAAATTTAACCCTGACTAATCTTGCCTACTACTTCTATAGGCAAGCTAAATGAATTTCCCCATCATTTTTTTTAATTAGAGGAAAAATAAAAACATGTACACATCATGTGTTAATGTATGTATTCATTCCCTGGGGCTGCTATAGCAACGTATTGCAAACCGAGTGGCCTGAACAATGGACATTTGTTTATTCTTGCACAGTTCTGGCGCCGGAAGTCCAAAGCCAGGGTGTCTGCAGGGCTATGTTCCCTCTGAAGGCTCTAGGAAAGGATCTGTTCCAGGGTCCACTGCTTGCTTTGGGTAGTTCTTTGGCTTGTGGTAACATCACTCCAATCTTCCCACAGCATTCTCCTTATGTGACTACCTGTATCCAAATCCCACGTTCTTATAAAGACATCAGGCATATGGGATTAGGGACCCACCTTACTCCAGTATGATCTCATTTCAATAAAGTAATTACTTCTGCAACAGCCTTATTTTCAATAAAGCCACATTCTGAGATGTCAGGGGTTAGGACTTCAACATATGAATCTGAGGGGACATAATTCAACTCATATCAGTGTGTCAGTACTGTGTGTGTGTGTGTGTGTGTGTGTGTGTGTGTGTGTGTGTGTAACTGCATATTCCAATTCCAGTAGTCAAAGGTGAATCAGCAGAATCATACTTTCCTCTTTCCTACAACTAGAACAATTTCATATAATGGTTTATACTTGGGCAAAAAAAAAGTTGCTATTTTTAAGTCTGTGTAGAAAACATTAAAAACATTTTCTTTCCTCTAGCTTATTTTATTTTAATAATAAGTTGACAGTTTTGGGAGAGTCAAAAGTTGTACGTAGATTTTCAACGGTTTCAAAAGCCACACTTGCCTCCTCTTTGTGGGGACTTGACTGCATCTTATGGTAAATGGATAAATATCTTTGTGCTGGAATGAAGAGAAGCCATGACTAATTAGGAAATAAAAAGTTATGAAGAAAGTAATAAGGACGATAAATTGAATGAATGTATTATTTACTAAGCGGAAGTGGTCTTCACACTGAGGAGACTGAGGGTTGGTCCTGCTGCCTCAGCAATGGCAGAGCCAGAAGAAAATTCACGTATAGGTGGACCTATTCAGTTCAGCCCTGTGTTCAAGGATCAACTGTACAATCAAGGACATGGCATTTTATTAAGGCTTTTCTCATCTGTTCAATTATCACCTTCTCAGCATGAAAAGAATACCCTAAAGGTGGTCTTCATGACCCCACAAAGAGAGGTTCCCCCAAGCAATCATTATTCAAACATTTTCATTTTAAGTGGGTTGAACATTACCCTTGCCACCCAGGTGAGTTTTATCTTATTATTAGGTAATGCTGTGTATTTCATATGTTCATAATCTATCTGGAGCTTTAAGAGATTTGTTGCATATTATCCACAGCTATGAAGGTTCATAATTTTGGGGCCACTTCTACAGCTGTTTCATAAAATTTATTTGTGAAATATAGAAAAAACTATGCAACAATCAAATCCAGTATTTTTTCTCTTACCTTTATTTAAAATGATTAAAAATGGTGTATGACAGTTTAGAAAATGGAATGGATTAAAGGCTAAAAATGTTTAGATTCCATTTAAGTAGGTATGTGTGTGTGTATGTAACTAAAAACACAAAGACTTTTTCACAAGAATTTAATTAAGCTCATGTTGAAATTCTTATAGAGAAAATAGTAACTAAGCATCAGACGTCACCATTTCTACAAGAGAACTTCTACAAGAATTAAAAAGTGTTGCAGGAGCGAATGCTGAAATAGGAAATATGGGCTATCTTCAAATTGCACAAGTTACGCATGAATCCACAATTTGAGACACACAACTCTGAGTTACCTAATGTGAATTATTAGTTGAAGGTATTTCACAAATTGGGGAGCTCTTTCAAGTGGTTTTCACTTTCAACCTTCTCTCTTTGAAGACCCCAATTCATAATGATGAGCACAAAGCATGAACACTGGAAATTTTTTATGGGTCCTGTATGTACACTCCAGACTGTACATGAATGTCTTAATCTTTGGTTCTGATATTTAGGGCAAAATCTGAATGTGTTATGAACATTAACCTTAGTTTAATCAAGCCATCCTTTTCCCTCTGCCCACAAGTGTTTCTAAAAGAGAAGCAAATAGCTAGCATACTTCTTGAATGCCTAAGGATTTAAGACTTCCTACTCTGGTGAATTGAAAAAGTTTAAAGCAAGGAAAGCAATGTTGTTGCCTTAGGAACTAGTACTTACAGAATTTCAAAGACTGAAAATACTTCTGATAATCGCCATTTCTGTCTCCTATGTGCCAAAACACATCAAAACTATATGATTTCCCGGGAAAAATTATCCCAGGATTTCCCCCAGATGGTTTTAACATAAGTCGTTTTGCACTGAACATTTCAAAATGCAGACTTATTTTCTCAGGTAATAATAGCTTTATGTGCAGATACATCAGAGCTGAAAGGAGGTTCAAACCTTGCTTGTGGGTATCAGAAATAATTCATACCCACTTCATTAGCAATAATGAATGCTCAATGATTTTTGACATCACTGAAGAATTCAGCATAGGTCCAGCATCCTTGGAACCTCAACAGTATTCTTCACCTCCCAGAAGCTGATAACATCCCCTCCCTACTGCTTACTGCTTTGTCACATCACCATGGTTAATCATGTGTGTGTTACTGCACCATGAAGTACCTGAAGTTTTCAGAACAGAGAGCCACAGTCTCTCTGTGTGAATGAATGACAAACCAAGAGAGAAAGCAATTTTTTTTTTTTTTTACAATGCAGGGTCTAGCTGCCTAACTTATCTTTATAACCACATCACATCCAATGAGTTGGGAATTCTTAGTGAGGCAGCTCACATACTTCACACAGAAGAAAACACACTTTAGCTCATCAAATTGTGTCAAGAATAAAAGGAAATTTCTATAACAGTGATAAACAGGGTTCTTGTTTTGGTTGAGCTTTTCTCAAAGTAATCAGGGGATCTTAACATCTTCAGACATTTTCTGGTTCTGAAAGGAAGATTGGAAACAAATGTCATCGTGGGGACAAAAAAGTCTATTAAAAAAAGAAAAAGAAAACCAAGATCCAACTATATGCTGTTACAGAAGACGTGCTCTAGATTTAGAAGAGGGAAGTAGATTAGAACAGAAAGAAATGAAGCAGAAATGGGCCAGGCACCATAGCTCATGCCTGTAATCCCAGCACTTTGGGAGGCCGTGGTGGGTACATCATGAGGTCAGGAGTTTGAGACCAGCCTGGCCAAGATGGTGAAACCCCGTCTCTACTAAAAACACAAAAATTAGCTGAGTGTGGTGGCACATGCCTGTAATCCCAGCTACTTAGAAGGCTGAGGCAAGAGAATTGCTTGAACGTGGGAGGCGGAGGTTGCAGTGAGCCGAGATCGTGCCACTGCACTCCAGCCTGGGCAACAGAGCGAGACTCCATCTCAAAAAAAAAAAAAAAAAAAAAAAAAAAAAAAAAAAAAGAAAAATTCTAACAAAAAAAAAAAAAAAAAAAGCAGATATGAAGTTGTACATCTTAAATATATACCCTGTTTGTCTATTACACCTTAAGAAAGCTAGAACAATGAAAAATCTATTTTAAAAAAAGAAAACCAAGAGCCAACTATGTGCTGTCTACATGAGACTTGCTTTAGATTCAGCAGAAGGAAATAGATTAGAACAGAAATAAATGATGCAGAAATGAAGTTGTACATCTTAAATATATACAATGTTTATCTCTCAACTATACATTAGCAAACCTGGAAAAATTAAAAATAAAAAGTATTTTAAAACTGTTAAAATCGTATCTGCAAACAAATATTAGTTTTCAAAACATTGTTTTGTTAAGGATTTTGATGATCTTAAATGAACTGCATAACTTTCTTTTTGGTTAAAACTACTCTTTGTAGAAACTTCTTTTTTTGAATATGGCCTCACTGGTCTTTATAACTTCTGAAGTGGTATTGTTATTTGCTCCACTTTACAAAATAAAAGCAAAGTATGATTTTTTTTTTTTTTTTTTTGAGACGGAGTTTCGCTCTTGTTACCCAGGCTGGAGTGCAATGGCGCGATCTCGGCTCACTGTAACCTCCGCCTCCCGGGTTCAAGCAATTCTCCTGCCTCAGCCTCCCGAGTAGCTGGGACTACAGGCACTCGCCACCATGCCCAGCTAATTTTTGTATTTTTAGTAGAGAAGGGCTTTCACCATGTTGGCTAGGATGGTCTCGATCTCTTGACCTCATGATGCACTCGCCTCGGCCTCCCAAAGCGCTGGGATTATAGGCATGACACACCACGCCCGGTCCAAAGTATGACTCTTAAAAGTCCACATCAAGTGACAGACATCTGCTGCCATCTATGTAGCTCCATTACTACAACCCTTTCTCTAGAAACTGTGCAGGCCTCAGTGTATGGCCTCAGCATGGATACAGTTCCGCAGGCTGTGCACTGCACTACATCACCATGGAGATGGTTAGTATACCATGCACATCATCCTCTAGGAGAGAGAAAATTAATGACTCAACTAAGGAAAGATGGACAGCTGGGTACCATTGGAGTGAAGTTTGCAGATCCCTAAGCCCCATTTGGTACCAAACCCATACATAGTGCTGCCATACACATATTTCCTACATAGTATAAAGGTTTTATAGCCAGTGAGGTGACATAGGCCCCGGATCCACATAAAAGTCACTGCTCACCTTGAAGAGATTCCCCTAACCTCATCTCACTCTGTCTGCATCCTCCTCCGTTTTGATCTCTTTAAGGAACTTTAAGCGAGGGGAAGTTAAACTTGGTGCTTGGAAATACTTGGTAAAGGTAACATTGACGTACAACGGAGAAATCAGACAAAATACTTACCAGGTAGCCAAAAGGCATGAAAGAGCTTCAAGGCATTACATCTCTTTAGCAAAAACGTGCTTCCACCTCAGATAAATGGGGCAGGCATGGTCCACATTTTCAAAACTACACCTGTTTCAGAAACTCAACTGGCCCCGTTCCAATAAAGCTTTATTTACATTAACAGACAGCTGGCCTGCAGGCTGTAGTTTGAAGATTTGATTTTCCTTTTAAAACACTGCACTAAAATATATTTGTCTTGATTATTGAGTTTGTGGATGAACCCTGGCCCCTGTGGGGACATTTTGTGCTTGTGGAGATGGGTACCTCTCTCTGCTCACTCAATTTCAGCCCTTGATTAACAAAGGCTTAGGAATCACTGCCACAGATGCTACTGAAATTAACATGTGGTGTCTCGTTAATGATGGCTGCCATGTCAGGTGAAAGAGTGTTGTCACTGAACCCAAGAATCTGCTCTCAGGTTGCCAGGGAAATAAGGCTGTTTTTCAGAAACTCAGTTTACTCTCAAAATTTCAGGACAGGGTGTAATGTAGACGGAGGCTCACTCCAAACGGAGGTTCATTAGCTAATGGTTGATACTGCCCATTCACCAGCAGAGGGAGCGCATGGGAAGGTTTTAGGATTTTTTGAAGCCAAATGCACATTCTGAAGAAAACATCTTAGGAATGAACTTCCCTTTCTAGTTTCCTTCCGGGACACAAAGAAGGTATGAGTTACAGGGCCCTGGGCAAACTCCAGACAGATTCTGATGTGGGTGGCGTAAGGTTTAAACCAAACCTGCAGAGACCCTCAGTTAAAGATTTGAGTCACTCTTTTGGCTATAACGCATCTCTCTACCTCCTCTGACTGTTGTTTCCGAGATTGCTTTATGGTATTCTCTGCTCTCGAGTCCGAAGTGATTCTTCAGACCCAGGAGTGTGGAGCCAACATTGAATCAGGAAACCACAGCAGATCGTTCTTTCCCCGATGGTCTGAGCACAGCTTCGGAATTCCACAGACAGGCTTATAATTTAGTGTTCTGTATTTTTCTTTGTGGGTGGGGTCTGTGCAAAACATTCATATTCAACCCAGATATTTTTCCTGATATTTCCTGACTCACCTGTGATGAAAGTTTCACTGAATACAAAACAAAACGGAACTATATTTGTCTAGTTAAATCAACCGTCATGCTTATAAACTTTTTTTTTGTTGGTTCTTTTTCTTTCCTTTTTTTCTCCCCCTGTTTTACATGAGACAGATAATGTGCCAATGTCATTGTAACAAGGTTTAGAGGAAGGTACAGCTCACACATGACCATGAAACCCAATTGCAGGCCGGGCACGGTGGCTCATGCCCGTAATCCCAGCACTTTGGGAGGCCGGGGAGGGCAGATTACTTGAGGTCAGGAGTTCAGTAAGAGCCTGGCCAACATGGTGGAACCCCTCTCTACTAAAAATACAAAAATTAGCCAGGCGTGGTGACGCACACCTATAGTCCCAGCTCTTTGGGAGGCTGAGGCAGGAGAATCTCTTGAACCTGGAACGTGGAGGTTGCAGTGAGCTGAGATTGTGCCACTGCACTCCAGCCTGGGCAACAAAGTGAAACTCCATCTCAAAAAAACTGAAAATAAATTTTTAAAAACCACATTATTTGTCAAGTTATGTATATTGAACTTAACCAGAAATAACCTTACTAGTGACAGACATCAGAAAGTAATTTTTTAAAAAAATCAGGCTTAATAACAAGGAAAACAATGTTTAGAGCAAAACTTACCATGGGTCCTGAAACAATTTCTCCTATTGTTTAGTTTGAAATAACTGGCTGCTGCTCCCAGCAGTGTCACCACCACCACGGATACAATGGGAGACACGATTTTTGCTACCATATTGCCTGCAGGAGTGGAGAAAATGCAAGCTCATTGAGAAAAACACTGCAGGCAGGAATACTGCTTCAATATTAGGTTGGTGCAAAAGTTATTGTGGTTTTCGCCGTTGAAAGCAATAGCAAAAATTGCAATAACTTTTGCATCGATCTAATAACTTCTCCATCATATCTCTTCCCATCCTTGTGTCCACAGAAAAGAGAAAGTTAATTTTTAAAAATAAACAAAAGAGAGGCCGGGCGCGGTGGCTCAAACCTGTAATCCCAGCACTTTGGGAGGCCGAGGCGGGTGGATCACGAGGTCAAGAGATCGAGACCA